GAGGACATCAGACCAGGGAGGAGGAGACACACCTTTTTTCCAGGATGGGGAACAAAATCCCACTTTTCCTTAATATATACCATCTTTTGTCAGTATGGGACCCAGAGTGGTTTTTGGAAGAAGTTAAAACCACTCGGTGGTGCAGTGGTTTAAACTGCTGAGTTGCTGAGTTTGCTGACTGAAAGGTTGGTGGTTTGAATCCGGGGAGGGGAGTGAGCTCCTACTTTTAGCCCCAGCTTCTGCCAATCTAGCAGTTTGAAAACATGCAAATATGAGTAGATCAATAGGTACCACTCCAGCAGGAAGGTAACGGCGCTCCATGCAGTCATGTCAGCCACATGACCTTGGACATGTCTATGGACAATGCTGGCTCTTCGGCTTAGAAATGGAGATGAGCATACCCCCCAGAGTTGGATATGACTAGACTTAAAGTCAAGGGGAAACCTTTACCTTTACTGAAAACCAAATACAGTTAATAAATAGTACACATTATAAATAATTAAATGAACAATTATATTTAAAGTAATTAAAGAAGGCAGTTTGAAAAAAGGTACCAAACCCCATGCATCTTCTTCTGTTATTGCTGTTTCAGCATCAGCATCATAATTATTTATTTGTTACTTGCCTCACTTTGCAACTCAAGGCAGGGTGCAACACAGACTGAGATTGAAATGCATATACAAAAATACACACAAGATCAACTAATAAAATCCAGGTTAAAATTCATAATATAATCTGTTAACCTGTGGGAATCCTTAATGGTGCATTAATTCTGTTGCTTTATTTATTTATTTACTAGCCGTCCCCTGCCACGTGTTGCTGTGGTCCACATGGGGGTTCTGTGTGGGAGGGTAGGCCCAATTCTATCGTTGGTAGAGTTCAGAATGCTCTGTGATTGTAGGTGAACTATAAATCCCAGCAACTACAACTCCCAAATGTCAAGATTCTATTTCCCTCAAACTCCACCAGTGTTCACATTTGGGCATATCGAGTATTCGTGTAGTTTGGTCCAGATCCATCATTGTTTGAGTCCACAGTGCTTTCTGGATGTAGGTGAACTACAACTCCCAAACTCAAGTTGAATGCCCACCAATCCTTCCAGTATTTTCTGTTGGTCATGGGAGAACTGTGTGCCAAGTTTGGTTCAATTCCATTGTTGGTGGGGTTCAAAGGGCTCTTTGATTGTAGGTGAACTATAAATCCCAGCAACTACAACTCCCAAATGACAAAATCAATTTTGGGTTGTTAGGTGTCTTGAGTCCAAATTTGGTGTCAATTCGTCCAGTGGTTTTTGACTTATGTTAATCCCAGAAACGAACATTACATTTTTATTTATATAGATTTTTGCTTACAGGTGCACCGCTGACCATACTTGGCTTAAATGTTATTCTGAAGTTACTGTAACATAGTTATAGGTACTTTGGCCTTAATGAACAATGCTAAAAGGGCTCAGATTTACATTAGTGACAAGTATTGCTGTTGTACATATAAGTGTGATATAAGTACAACTTCGTTCTTCAGCCTGAGAACAGAAAAATCTGGTTCACTTAGATTCTCACACTGCAGTCTCATAGTTCACAGCAGAAGCTGATGGAATACATACCGAGACTGGTTTGCACTTGACTGAAGTTTTAGCCCTCTCCGGTCTACCATGGAATATAACGGAATCTGATAAAAAATACCTTCTGTCTATAGCTGACCAGGGGTTGAAGACTGGGATCCATCTGTTTCTGTCAATAAAATTGGGGAATGGGTATCTCTCCTGACTATTGCAACCCCCATTTTTGCCCAAAACCTCGGCATGAAGGCTGTGAAATCATCCTGGAGTTAATTTTCAGGAGACACCAAGAGTTATAACAGGAAAAATTGAGGAAGAAAATCCCATTGTGTTGCTTGGGCACAGTATTGACATTAGGTAAGGATGGACTCAAAGGAACCTAGGTAGAAGCTTGAACAGGATTTGATTTTTTTCATGGTTGCCGTATATTTTGGTTCATTATGGCTAGCCCTGGTGCTTGGGCTTTGGCACTTTCCTGGACTCAAGAAGGCCCAGCCTGATAAAAAGCACCAAGAAAATGTTGACTAATTAACATGGAATAATATTTTTTCTTTCTTTCATATGGTACTGCAAAATGTGTTGTTCCTCTTCAACACTAAAACATGTGTGGATATTACTTTGGGTGCATGTTGCTTTGAATGTTCAACAGATTCAGATGAACCCGGCACTCCTATGCATCAATAGACCGCGCTTGTGGGTCTGTTTAGCCAGCTGGCTTTTTTCCAGAAACTCTGAGTTAAGATAATTGAAGGATAATTCATGATGGCTTGAAGCTTGTTCTTCCATTAGCTTGCAGGATACTTTGTTTACAGCAAGTTTATGGTTTTTTTTTGCCTTTAGGCAGAAACCTTTAAACAGTTTATTTTGTGACTAGTTTCTTGAGGAGAAGAGGGAAAAGGTTTTGTAAGCACATTTAGATGTGTTTTTGTCCTTTTCAAATTGCAGATGCCATCTGTGATAATTTATTTACAGTGAAGTGAACACTATTAGGTTTAACAGCAATTCTCTTCCTTTAGAAAGACAAGAAAGTTTGTGGTGTCGAGTCTATTTACAAAACCTGGCAGTTTTCCAAATAGGCTTTTACAAAAAGTGTATGCTTAAGAGATACACAAACTAACGTATTTGGTATTATTATTTATATAAAGCAAATAATTGAATGTTATGAGGTTTTAAAACTCAGGAAAGATAGTATTTATTCACTTGTTTTCCGTTAATTTGGTAGTAATATGTTAATATGCTTCGAATTTTCTATTGGCTAACCTGATACTATAGATTAGGAACTAATTCCAGCACTCAATGAAGCCTTAAATGGTTAATCTAGAAGAAGAAGAGGTATGTGGGAGTGGGAACTGGCAGGAGTGCTTTTGTGCTGCCCATCTTGGTGCGGGGAAATGAAAGAGTGGCTTTCCCAAGGATGTGTCTGACAGTAGAATGCAATCAACTTTCCAAAAAGACAAATATGTCATTTTTTGACATAATCTCTCTGCTTTTCAATACACTTTGTCCATCTCTCAGAAAGCTTTTGTATTCTCTTATTTTTTTAAAATGTTTTGTCTAAGTTGTAAGCTACGAATGCACTGCTATCTTCAAATCTTCATCAGACATGAATCTCTGTCCTTAGGGCTTAGTCCAGGAGCTCAAACAGATGATAGTCCAATGGGGCAAGATCAGGATTATAGGGATGATACTTTAACACTTTCAAAACTGCATTTTAGGAGAGGGTTGATCATATGGGCAGTAACATCAGGTCTTCAGTGGGCACTGTTGATTGAACCTTTTGCACTACATTTGCTCTTCTTTCATGCAAATCGCAAGAGGTGCAGCCATTTTTTCTTTAACTGCAGTTACTGATGTAACACTTTCAAAACTCCATGGCTGTGACTGGTGAGACAGCGACTTTCTTTGTATGAAAAGCACTGATAAAACAGTGTGGCCAACAGAAATTTTAATATAACCAGAGTGCAAATAATTTTTGATGAACCCTCGTAGTTATTCACCAATGCTCTATTGGCTTGATTCTAAAAATCTAAAAACAAGACAGTTCTGCAAAGTCATAAATTGTCTATGTCTTTCAAATAGACCTTATTTTGTACCATCTTGCTGCTTCTGTCACAATTAGTGTGTTTCAAAAAATTACATTGTGAACCAAATTCCAAAGTTCATTTTTTCAGTAATACCTCTATTATTGGTTTGTCTCTATCAGGCTAACCAAAAAGGTGGAAAATTCTGTTTTAACCAAACCTTTCTTCACATTGTAAAGAAAGTAGGAAATTCCCACCACCCCATAACCACACAGGGAAGTAACACTGGTTGAGTCTTGTAATCTGCATGTTACCATATTTTGAGATGGTTTGGCAGCAGGATCTGCAGACTATCACATTAAAATCAATCCCCCCCCCCCCACACACACACACACACACACTTGTCCTCAGCACTGTGGTGACAAGAGATACAATAAAAGAAAAGCATTAAAATTTGGTGGGCCCTTTCAGAATACAAAAAACAAAACCTGTTGAAAAATACAAATCTGTCTCTGTCTAATGCAGAGCTTTGCGGCAGTTTGTGGAGCTACCTATAAGAATGGCTCAGAAATTTTAGTTGGTAACAATGTTAAGAAGTATGTTTATTGACTTACATCATTTTAGGAGTTTCAAGTTGGAAAGGGATGCAAAGGCTATCCAGTCCAATCCCCTGCCATTCAGGAGTAGGCAACTTATGTACCCCTGAAAGATGCCATTACAACCTAAGCTGAAAGACCTTCAGAGATGGAGAGTCCACCATCCTCTATTCCACATTCCACATTCCACATTAAATATGTTCTTTCCTGTTTTTAGGTTGAATTTCTTTTCTTGTCAAGGAATTTACTTCTTTCTGGACAATTGCACTAGCTTTAAGATCATTTCCAAGCACAGTTTGAGACTACTTTTTCTCCATTCCATCTCTCAAATTTTGGAAGCACAATTTTTTTTCTTTGTGGTCTCTGACTCACGGAAATGGATTGTTCATTTAATAGGAATTTTCTAGACTTCAGCATAGCATTGTTGATGGAGGTATTTCCTTACTCCCTACACATATCTTTCCCTCAGTCCTCTTTATCTGCCACCTTAGCAGCCCCCACTTAGGAGCCTCCTGTGTTTTTCAGTGACACTGTAATCTGACTGCTGAACAAGTAGAGATGTCAACGTAGCAAATGACAATGTTTCACAGGATACTTATGCTTCTCTGACCTATTACCAGTGATTAAAAATCAATAATCTCAACTCAAATAAATGTAGAGAATTTTTTCATAGTCAACTAATCCCCTTTTCCCCTCCACACACCAAAGAAATTAACCATAACTTTATCAAGAGAAAAACTATGAATGCACTCAAACATAGAATTACAACTTTGGGTAAAAACTAGATGTCTGAAGTTACCAAAGTGTTTTATTTCTTTGGTTTAGAAATCCAGGAAGAATTCAGGAGAAGCTCCATCAAAAATCACCAAACCAGGTCTCCTCTATATCAGACATCCTGTGTGCCAAAAGGAGAAGAGGATCCACCGAATAGGCTCAAAGACTTTCTTACTTGGAAGGACACCCAAAAAAATCCGTAGGTAAGAATGCAATGAAAAAGAAACTTGGTCTCTTTGTACCAAATTGGCGTGTACTGGAATGTACTGATAATTTGATTTTTCAAGAAAAATATTATTTCAGAGCCCTGCCATAACTTTAGCTTTTTTGCAGAGTAAACAATAGAAAAATACTGTGTAGGAATGCCTGCTTTTCTATAATATAAGGCATTACCTGTTGACTTTAGTGTTTCAGAAATAAAAAATGTTGTGACCATTAGGGGACAGGGCGTTTCCTCAGAGTTTTTTTTTTATCTGCCAAGCATTTGCATCTGCCAGCAGAACAGTTTTTGAATGGTCAAGGCCTATTGTGCTCTGGTCCATGAGATAATGTATATGTACTAGATGTAGACTATTTTGCAGCTCACTGTGAACAATTTGGATGACACCTTGCAGATAAAATAACTGAAATGCATTCTGGCTCTAGTTGATGCACTTCCATGGTATCAATTTTGGTACATGCCTTTCCAGCTGTAATTGATCCCTTTCCCTTTGAACAGTCCAAGCTTGTGGATATTCCTTGGAGAGGTGAGGTACAGCACAGATTCACTGCTTCTTTATCTTACCTAGATAGTAAAGACAAATATGAGGGCTATTGAGAAACTGTGCCTATGGAGTGGTGAATCCCTCTTTGTAAGAAGAAAAGAATTCATTTTGCCTCATGGCAACCTCTATCGTACTTGGTACTTACTAGCATTCTTCAGTTCAGGCAGTCCCCAATGATAGGTTCTGTAGGTTTTTTCTTGAGTTGAATTTTTATGTAAGTCAGAACAGGTACATATTTAAAGTGTAACTCCAGTCGATAGATAGATAGATAGATAGATAGATAGATAGATAGATAGATAGATAGGTTGATCAAGCCTTTCCAGCTGTATATATATTTAGCTCTGAATAGCATAGGGAAGGATTAGCATCCCCGTGGAGTTTGCTTTATTGTCTGTGCTCCTGCTCAGAAGATTTCACTTCATTTTCTGTCCCTATGAAAATTGGGTTTTGAAAAAAAAAATGGTTTGTTGTGGAAACAAGGATTGATGGGAAAGCTTCAGTGTGGACACCTTTTCCCCATGATAACTCTTCCAGGAATGAATTTCCCTTCTTAGGGGTAGATTTTTCTCACTTCCTGTTGTCATGCCCCCATTCTTGACCAGGAGCCATTTGTAAGTCAAATGTTTGTAACTCGGGGACTGCCTGTATTCAATTTTTTGTAAGCGAAGAGCATTAAGAGCTTTTTGATATGTGTCTTCGATCAGGCCTATTCTGATTATTTTAAATTAGAAGTTTTAAATTATGAATTGATTGTTCTAATATGTATGCTCTTTTCACTACTATTATTCTCTTGTAAATTATGTTGTGGTTCCCTGCATCATTTGAAGAGATAGGCAGGAAGAAACCACTGTCAACATTATCAAACCTTAGTTTATTGTAAGAGTAATTTAAACTCCAACCATGGTTTGTGTTCCATAGCAAATTATTATTATTATATTTAAACCCCTCTTTATCTCTCCTGAAGGAGACTCAAAGCGACTGGACATAAAAGCATTAGCATAAAATTTAAAATATACAAATATGCCAACATTGAAAAAGAATTAAATATAAACAGTATTAAAATTCACAGTTAAAATCTATTAAAACATATTCAAAGTTTTAAAAAAACCCTGACTAGATCTTAAATACCTTCTTCTTTAAAAGCTTGTCTGAATAAAAAGGTTTTAACCTGCCACCGGAAGGAGAACAGGGTGTGGGCCATTCTGACTTCCCTGGGCTAGGAGTTCCAGAATTGAGGGGCAGCCGCTGTGAAAGAATGCCTGCTCTCTCGTTCCCACAAACCAAGCGGAGGGCCCCTGCTGAAAATCTCAGGGCCCAGGCAGGTTCGTACAAGGGGATGCAGTCAGCCAGATAGTCTGGACCTGAATAGCCTGGACCTGAACCATAGTTTGTGCAGTTTTCTACCTCTCCCATTCCTGAGAATGCTAGGACGACTCCAAATGACAGTTTTGGAGTGTCTTAAATCATGTGTTCTCCCAATTCAGAATACTGCAGAAAGCAGTTTGCTTTGACTATGTTTTTTTCAAAACTCATTAATTATATCTGAACTCTTTGCCTTTTTTTTCTCTGGACCATGCATAGGAAGGTTGTTTTAATGTGTTACAAGCTTCCTTTGAGAAACCCCATAAGTAGAGTAATAAAAAGAAACAACGGGAGAAAGATCAGGGGACACAGAATGTGCAGTTGGAGCTTTCTCTTTCTTCAGGGAAGCCTCATACACTCACTTTTCTTTTACATTTAGCTACATTTTTTTTCAAGAACAGAGTTTTCGCTATCCAGTTCTTAAGCTGGCTTGGAAATAAATGTCATTCGTTGACCTTATCCGATTGTTGTCCAGTTTCTTTATTTTGTTTGCTTAGTGTTCATATCACAGTGACAGTAAGGACATTTTTTTTATCTTGATAACTGCAGGAAACAATTTGAAGAAATGGCAGCTCATTTTCGTAAGAATCCAGTGGAAGACTTTGCAAGATATATTGCCAGAGTAACATCAGAGGAAAGGCAGAAAATGTTGAAAGCATTTTATGGTGAAAAATACCCAGAACTGAAGGACTTATTAAAAATTGAGGTTCCAGTTTGTGCTGCAGAGGAAAGTGAAGAAACTGATGTACACAGACCCTTGTCCAGAAAAAATGAAAAACCAAAGTCTGATCCTTCAACCGATGTGTGTGTCCAAAAAAGACATGATGCAGAAGGAAAGCAATTTCAATATTATCCCTGCATACAGGCTGCTGTGTGTCATAACGGGGAGGATAAACAATTGCCCACTGTCATTAACCAAGATAGCATTAGTGGGAGAAACAGTCAGGCATTCAAAGACTTTATGGCATCTGACTCATTAAGCAGTAAATCAGGAATAATTGAGGGGCTGTCTGCAAATACTACTAAAGGACAGCCAAACTTGAAGGGGACACAGTCGCCAAGAAAACCCTTTCCGTCTCCGTTAGAGAACAGACAGACTCAAATATGCGAGGAAAACTCATTTGCAGACTTACTAGGAGACACCTCCATTTTGCACGACCTCTTCAAAGGCAATGAAAGGCCAAGAGAACCACCCAGGAGGTCTCTTTCTCAGCCTGCGGAAAAAGCAAAAACTCAGGCAAAAGACTTCTGGGATCTGTTGAATGAACAGAATGAGGAGGGCCTCCAAAAACTCACAGACTTGGCGGTTGTAGAGAAATTGTGTGAAACACCTTTGTCTAAGAAGAAAGAAGAAGAACAAAAACCACTTTGGAAGAAAAATGACAATTTCTTGTGGAAAAGATATAACACAAGTGACACCGATGATGACTCTTCCCCAGGAATGAGATGCGATGCCTAAAATATAAAGCAAGAGGGAAACCATACACAGGTCCTATGTGTCATTTTGGCTTGGGCAACTAGCTCAGTGCATTTCAAATGTGCTGAGTTCTTTCCTTTTCCAAGAATATTTGCCTTTTAGTGTTCCTTCAAAATAAAGGGTTTCTCCTTCTCCTCCTCCTTTTTTTAATCCTTCTGCATTTTGAAGGTGTTTTGAAGTAACTGCAAAAGGAAATATCCTTGGAAAAGGTGAAGAAATTTAGAATTCATTGGATGAACATCCGATTTGCCTTTAGAGTATGCCTTTGAAGCACTTTTGGATATTTTCCTTTTGTTTGTCTTGTTGCAAACTGTGTTGCTTCTGGCCTAAATATGGGCATTCTGTTTTTTAAATCAATTTTAAATCAGATAAAGAAAATAATGTAAACTTTCCTGTGCAAGTTCCCCATGTCCCCGTATAGTTTTAACCTTCCTTTAATCAAATTGTTGGCCTTGAGAGGAAGGGGAACATGAGGATCTCTGTGCGCAGAGCATGCACCCCCATTGGGTGAGCAACCATGTGTTTTAATTGCGATCTTTTGGCCTCTGGATCCACAGATTTATCAGTTCTATTTTCTAAAATGGTCTGGGCAGCGATTATGGGGAAAACATGGAGTTATAATGTAACTGAAACCTGTTTGAACAAGTTATGCTCAGAATACTTTCAGACATCACAGGCAAGCAAAAATTAACTATGAACATTTCAGAATTTCTGGACGGTATCTGCTTAGCCTTATTTTCTATAAGCCATTACAATCAGTGAGACTTAAGCTGTCAGTGAGAGACTTCAATCCCATTGATTTCAGTGAATCTACTGCAAGCACAACTATCCGGTAATTCTTTAAGCATATGTAGTAAATGTCTTAGAAGAGGGAGTATGCTAGCCCTGTCCCTAGTTTCATTGTCTTACCACTCGTGAATGGTGACAGATCAAAGCAAAACTGTGGTAAAGGACACTTTCAACTTCTCCTGAAAGCAGAGAAGATGGCACAAATGATGATGGTACTAGTGATCTCCTGCTCTCATACACTTAAATGACTGAATAAGGCTTGTATCCGGATGCATTCTTCTAATTTTGCTCTGCTTACGTCTTGTAAACATTGGTTCAGTGGTAAACCCCATTTGGCAACTACTAAGCAAAGTACATGAGCAAGCCTCAGAAATTTATCAAGATGTAAGTGTCTACAGACATTGTCAAAATAGCTTAAAGGAAGATTGAGCAACAGCTCGTATCTCTATATTATCTAATTTGTGATAGCTGAAAAGAAAAAGGAGCCATTCCCTTGGGATCATTTATGCAACGTTAACAGCACAGGCCTACAAGGTATCCATTCCTTTCTCATAAATCATACTTGCTTAAACTAAACCTCAGTGTTTGAATTGAAGCATGAGAGTTCTGCCACATTTTTATTGGGATTAGAATGCTCAATTGCAGTATTTTAAATATAGGTAATAAAGACACTATTATACACAAGTAGGTATAATAATTTTAATGGCCCTAATTTTAAAATCTTTTTAAAAGGCTAATATAAAAGGATGTTCCAGCTGTTCTAAGTTTTAATATGTTCGATCTAGTTGTTCAGTGGTGTTTAAAGCAGATTGGAAAAAAAATCCCTTGCAAATACTCTAAAATTAAACTCCTTTTGTCTTCTGTAGTGAGGACAACTATCCAGAAGATACATTGTTTTCATATATAACATAGGAGCCCCGATGGCGCAGTGGGTTAAACCCCTGTGCCGGCAGGACTGAAGACCGACAGGTCACAGGTTCAAATCTGGGGAGAGGCGGATGAGCTCCCTCTACCAGCTCCAGCTCCTCATGCAGGGACATGAGAGAAGCCTCCCACAAGGATGATAAAAAAAATCAAATCATCCAGGTGTCCCCTGGGCAATGTCTTTGCAGACGGCCAATTCTTCTCTCACACCAGAAACGACTTGCAGTTTCTCAAGTCTCTCCTGACACGACAAATATATATATATATATATATATATATATAACTAACTAACTAACTAACTAACATAAGGCAGGATCCAGCATTGCAGTAGTGTAGCACATCTAGAGTAATGAGAAATCCTCTTTCTTTCTCCCCCTTCACAACCTGAAAATCTACTCCAGCCCTTTGAAACACATTGATGAAAATGTAGAGATTGCCATCTTCTTGGTTCAGTTGATCATGCCTGTTACTGGAATAGTGAATGCGTACAAACACTATGGAATCAAGTGGATAAAGGTTACTAGACATTGCGCTGTAATGTTCATAACTTGTGAACGATGTATGCAATGAAATTAATTAAAACTGCAGGGAAGGCTTTGGTCAGTGCATTTCCACTTATCAATACTCTGCGACTTCTTTACAGTATTAATCTTTATCAGAAGTCAACGCATAATGTTTACGGGCCTATGTATGAGCTGCTATTATTTTTATTCTCTGTTATAAACTGAAGTAGTTGTCCAAATTGTCAAGGATTTGTAGAAAAATGATGGATGAATTGTTGAATGCTTTCATGGCCAGAATCACTGGGTTGCTGTGAGTTTTCTGGGCGGTATGACCAAGTTCCAGAAGCATTCTCTCCTGACATTTCATCCACATCTATGGAAGACATCCTCAGGTTGTGAGGACCTTACAACCTCTGAGGATGCCTGCCATAGATGTGGATGAAACGCCAGGAGAGATTGCTTCTGGAACATGGCCATACTGCTCAGAAAACTCACAGCAACCCAATGGTGGATGGCTCTAATTCTTTTTTTTTAGCTTAGATGAATTTATAAGCAAATGTTCTGAAAATGAAAATATTTTTATACACAAGTCTTAATCCTTGTAATTCTGTACTTATTTAGAATTGATAAAATATAATTTGTTCTTATATGGCTCAGTGTGTACTTTGTAGATCAATATTACCCCCCCCCCTTTCTTTTCCACCCTTATGTTCTTTTTATGTATGGTTGTAAAATTCTTGAAATAAAGATCATTAAAAAAATCCGTGGAGCAGGGTGTTGTTGTTGTTGTTGTTCATTCGTTCAGTCGTCTCCGACTCTTCGTGACCTCATGCACCAGCCCACGCCAGAGCTCCCTGTCGGCCGTCACCACCCCCAGCTCCTTCAAGGTCAGTCCAGTCACTTCAAGGATGCCATCCATCCATCTTGCCCTTGGTCGGCCCCTCTTCCTTTTTCCTTCCATTTCCCCAGCATAATTGTCTTCTCTAGGCTTTGCTGTCTCCTCATGATGTGGCCAAAGTACTTCAACTTTGTCTCTAGTATCCTTCCCTCCAGTGAGCAGTCGGGCTTTATTTCCTGGAGGATGGACTGGTTGGATCTTCTCGCAGTCCAAGGCACTCTCAGAACTTTTCTCCAACACCACAGCTCAAAAGCATCTATCTTCCTTCGCTCAGCCTTCCCTAAGGTCCAGCTCTCACATCCGTAGGTGACTACAGGGAATACCATGGCTTTGACTAGGCGGATCTTTGTTGCCAGTCTGATGTCTCTACTCTTTACTATTTTATCGAGACTGGACATTGCTCTCCTCCCAAGAAGTAAGCGTCTTCTGATTTCCTGGCCACAGTCTGCATCTGCAGTAATCTTTGCACCTAGAAATACAAAGTCTGTCACGGCCTCCACATTTTCTCCCTCTATTTTCCAGTTGTCAATCATTCTTGTTGCCATAATCTTGTTTTTTTTTTTTATGTTTAGCTGCAACCCAGCTTTTGCGCTTTCTTCTTTCACCTTGATTAGAAGGCTCCTCAGCTCCTCCTCGCTTTCAGCCATCAGAGTGGTGTCATCTGCATATCTGAGGTTGTTAATGTTTCTTCCAGAAATTTTCACCCCAGCTTTGCATTCATCCAGCCCCGCACATCGCATGATGTGTTCTGCATACAAGTTAAAAAGGTTGGGTGAGAGTATGCAGCCTTGCCGTACGCCTTTCCCAATCTTGAACCAGTCTGTTGTTCCGTGGTCAGTTCTTACTGTTGCAGGGTGTTAGCCCCAGCTTATGCCATCCTAACAGTTTGAAAACATACAAATGTGAGATCAATAGGTACTGCTCTGGCGGGAAGTTAACGGTGCTCCATGCAGTCATGCTGGCCACATGACTTTGGAGACGTCTACAGACAACATTGGCTCTTCAGCTTAGAAATGGAGATGAGCCCCACCCTCCAGAGCCAGAGATGACTTAAGGTCAGGGGGAAACCTTTACCTTTTATTATTGTCTCTACCCAGTGCAATCCTTTAAGGAATAAATGCAAGACACATATGCATATCTCCTGCATCTTGAAAAACTTCTGTAAACTTCCTTATAATGGCATCATCTTCATAGGATGACATACATATAGATGAAATGCATTGATACACTTTTATCTTAGTGTACATCAAAGTACACTAAATTATCCAGTCTTAAAGCAGTCCACAGGCTCCTTCTCAAATGGTTCTGTAATAAAAGAGAATATATACATCTAGTGCTCTTCTCTGAGATAGAGGATTATATATAGCTACTGAGATAGAAGACAATATATGTATCTATTATTCTGGCCAATGATTACTGGAAATGAATGTGATATCCTCTTTCAGAGGTGATTGATAACTCATTTTGTGTCCTTAGAAAAATTGTATAAGGGAATAAGCCATTAATCTCTATAGTGCATGCATATATACTGTCTACAGTAAAACTAAATAACATTGATAAGAAAGGATTATAAAATGTCAGCCTCAACTGTGAATACAGGTAGTACCCCAGTTACAAACATCTGACTTACAAATGACTCATAGTTAAGAACGGGGGTGAGACAACAGAAAGTGAACAAAATCTACCACTTGGAAGGGAAATCCACTCCTGGAAGAGTTATTATGGGGAAAAGATTGTCACCAATCCTTCTTTCCACAACAAGCCAATTTTTCAAAATCCAGTTATCACAGGGACAGAAAGTGAAGGGAAATCTTCTGAACGGGCACAGACAACAAAACAAACTCCACAGGGATGTTAACCCTTCCCTATGCTATCCAAAGCTTATATATATGAAACAGAC